GAAATACTGAGTGTCATTAATTCTTCATGTAAATGTTAACCTGGGTTTTACAAAATATCTCATTGAACCACCATTGAGTTCACACAGTGTTTGAATTATTTTCTCTTTCAGGAAAGTAGTTGAATTTAATATCAAATATCTTTTCTTGGTTTTTTATTCTGATACAAACTAAGTGGCGCCCCTCTGGTACCTCAACAAAGTCCGAATCCATAATCATCGCTCGCCAGACGAAAAGCTGCCTGTGCCTTGCTTATCTAACTTTTTGACATTCATATTTTTTGTACCATCTAAGAAAAATTGTCTAAAGTAGGTTACAAGATATTCGAAATTGTTACCATGTTATTTCATATTTACATATTGATCATTTTTGATATTCCAGGTCCAATCCGTAAGATTCAAAAGAATATTCATCTGACAAATTTTGTTGGCAGCTTGAATAAACTGATGAAACGTCCGAGAATTGGTACTTTCATTTACTTTGAGCAATATTTTGACACAAGGGCCCTTGTGATTATTTCTTGTTCAATATGAAACATTATCAGAACTTTATTCGATTTATTTATTTATCTTTGGTGCAAGCGGTTACACGAATAAATTGGCGTTTATTCAATTAAAAAAAAATAATTTCCCTATTTACGTTGTTTCGATGAATTCAAGTTGTTGCCTTGTTCATGATAATGAAATTGAGAAATATTTTGTGATATTTTACCACTCAAACATTATTGAATTGATTGAAATACTCCTGTTGAATACCGCATGCTCATTCCTCCAATTTTGTTAGAACTTGACCGTACATTTCTTTGTCTAGCAACTCGCAAATATTTTCCATTTTTGGAAAAATCATCCCCGGGGTTAAATATCATTATAATCATCTTCATAATTCATAAATATACATTATCATCATATACGAGCTCATTATTTCACATAAAATCATCATTTCATGTCCTATCAATTCGAGGACAAAATATCTTCAGTAAGGTTAATCCTTCATGCCTTGTTGTGACACATCTTCCAGGATTCCCTCCTATTTACTGTTATAGTGCAAACTTTCAACTATAACACTTCGTACTTTTTAGAATATCAACCAACCAGCTACTTCTCTGGATGTGGTTTGGCTAGGACCACGAGATTATGCTGAATAGGGTGATGATTATTCTGTACGGGAACGGTTTCCACTTGAAACCAAGTAACAATCTCTTCATTGAGAGTTTACATACACATCATTATTCTTGAGCTCAATCAATTCATTTTATATCATATTTCCATAACATAATAATATCATATTTGCGTATAATTCATTTCAGGAGGAATGACAAAAAATGATAAACGATACCAACGTTTAAGAGTATTTTCAATATTTGAAAGGTCATATATATACTGATGACTAAGATATTTTGAATCGAAACATTCTCAACTATTACTTGAATTATTAATTATTTGCATTCGCACTAGTATCGAAATTTATTATGAATAATATCGAGCACGATGATTTGTTATTATTGTTTTCATTTCGTATTGTTATAAAACTATAGGCACGTTGTAAAATTATATTCTCAATTGAGTGTTCATGGCATTGGCATTGCATTTCTTGAATGATTTTATCAACTAAAAATAAAAGTATTTGGAATTATCTCGATATATAAGAAATAAAAAACTGGCAAGAATGAGATATAGAAAAAACTTGTTCCCAAATTCAAATAGAAAATTACGAGTAGAGAACAAAAAATAACAATGTTCAGAGATAAGCTCCAAACTTTGTGAGTCTGGTCCGGTGCTTCATATCATGTCTTTAAATGGAAATGGAATGATTGTTATTCAACTTTTCAAGCTTAATGTTATTCAAAATATTGAAAAAATTTTGGATTTCAAATTTGTATGACTTTTCTACTTTGTTATCACCCATAATTCATACTGCTATACTTAATTACTTTCAAATAACCCTTTCTACTAGTGCATTTGTATGAAATATAAAATTGACATAAATCGACGAATGCAAAAAAAAAAATTGATGAGTCCATTATGAGGAATGAGGCTCAAGGAAAGAAGCTTAGGCGCCTCCACCATGTCAAAACAAAAGAGTTGGTTTCCCAAAAGGGGTAATGCTTGGCTTAATATTTTGCGAGAGGTAATATTCAAATAGGCACTAATAGTTCAGGGGTAACTGTAAGTATGAGATTATATTCAAACATAACAATATTTATTGAAGCATGCATAAAACATTATGGGTAGTGATGAAGAATATGAATAAACAACAATGAATATAAAGACTTAATAACAACTTACATTATAATGACCATTCGACGAGCTCTTGTCAAGTCAATAGTAGCCCCAGACCAGGCTAACTTCGGAACCTTCACATCCAATATTTATATACATCATTTTATTATATTTGCACGTTTCTCATGAGAGTTCCTTGGTCAGTTTTCATAGTTCAATGTCAATGGATGATTTGATTAATTTTATGTTCATAAAACCCTCATGGTTCCAAATTACTAATATACTGTATGTTCTACTCGTGACAATATGCTGTCTATTTTGATAGATTTGATTTCTTTATATTCTGATTCCAGATGAATATGGATATATAGATATGAAATATGCTTGTCTATTGAAATATACAGCTCATTTCAGTTAGGATATACTTTTATTTCTGTGGTCCTTGTCAAGTTGAAGATATATTGCAACACTCTGTTGCAATGATTGATACCACTACCGCGAATTGTATGAAATCAGTATTGAATATTTTCAAATAAGTAGAAAACAACGAGAAGAAAATGAGTGATGAATAAAACTTACCTTGTGAAGGGTATATTCAGCATATAAATAGCAAATGGTATATTGGCAATGGAGGTATATGCTGAGAATATTTGAAAAAATTCAGAAGATATGATTCAAGCATATCTGTAGCATATGCTAATCTTGTTCACAATTATATACATAGCATATGCTCAGCATATTGAAGCCACATTGTGTGAATATTCTAGGAATATGATCTCGATCTCCTTATATCACTCAGGTATAGCTCAGCACATACTTGGTATTTTATTTCGCTATGTGGGTGAAAAATTCCTGAAAATTATCCATTATCCTTTCGTCATCAATACCTCAGTAATTGTTACCAAGGTTCGCCAAATTTGAACATGCCTATTTATGAATAAATATGCGCAGAGTTTTTTTCCCTTATCTAACCGATACATGTAATACCTACATACATAACATAAAAACAACATTCCATTCAATTTGTCACACCTGAAAATAAATATCACAGAAAATATATGGCAGTTGACAAATGACAAAATCAAGAAGAAGAACAGGGGATGGATAATGTTTGAAACTCACATAATATCCCCATTTCTTCCCTTGAGACTTTTATCCATCACAGATTCGTATTGGTTGAGTGGTAGATGCTTCAGATATTCCTGTATATTGTCATAATACTTCATGTCCTGATTCCTGCTATTATAATATGAAACTTATTCCATTCAAAGTAATTATGTTGATATCTTGGTAGAGACTTCGATTGCGAAAACAGTTATACGATCAGTACTAGTTCCCGATTCTTCAATCTGGGGTAGGTACTTCAAGGGGTTTCAATCGATTGTCAAATAATGCAGCCCGAATCATTGTTATATGATGTAAATGTGAATAAATTATTACGGAGTATACATATGTTGGGAATTCCCTTGAAAGAAAATAGTCCATTCTCCCCAATACCTTCGTTGCTGCTGACATTCTCTTTTTTATATAATCATTGTGGTCACTCCACGATAGAGTTCTGTCTATTATTAGACCTAGAAACTCGACTTTGATCGGGGATTCCATAGTGATCTTGCTCCGTTCGTTGATTGCTTCAATTGGATTACTTCTTGTTTTATCAATACACATAATTGACTATTTGTTCATGTTCAGTGTTCATTACTTTGTTGAACGGTACACAGTATCGAGGTCCACCAAGAGTATCTTCTTGGTGTGAGATCGAATGATATTCAGATTAACATTGAATCTGGTTTGGAAAATCTAACCTCAATAAAGTTATGTTCAAAACTAATCGGTATGAACCGTGTAACTACCGCAATGTGTCAGCTTCCAGAACAGATTCATACAGATTCTCATTATAAAGTTGCAAGTATAGTTCCGACATATCCTTTCTACTGAGCAAACCCGACTTACTATGCAATGTTCTACCTACCTCGGCAAAAATGTCACCTTATTTTGGAACACCATGTATATATATAACGATCTAACTTGTCGATATTGTGTCCCGAAAAATATTCCATTTCGTCAATGGCTTCAACTTCACAAACATGCAATATATATAGACATTTTCAATTGCGGTATTTGCGAATTCTACTTGTTGTTCAGCGATTTATATTCTTCACCACTTCGCCATACTATATGATTAATTCATTCCTTCTTCCGTTTTTTCATTTTGTATAGGTGCGGCCAGTTCGATTCATCATAATCATTTTTTGAAATATTGATGTTAAGGCGATGTATATCCTCGAGTGTCACACAAATTTTAAATTTGAAAACTAAAGAATATAAATTTATTCTCAATAGAAGAGGAATATGAGTGATTGTAGTCTCTTCTGAAGAATCTGGAGGACACGACTGCAAGATTAACCATCTACGACGATAATCTGAGAGAATCTTCTTGACCCGAATCGCTTAAAAATTTTTTTGGATGAAGAATATCAAGAGACGCCATTATAAGAAGAGAAATTCTTCGATTTCCAATACAAATGTGAACAAATACTCAGAAAAATCGACAAAGACATCGAAACCAGTGATGGATATAGCTGCAAGTGAGAAAATCAAGAGGAAATACATGAAGTCAAAAAATTTGACTCGGGAGATACATTTCAATATCTGCTGCAATACATGGATGACGGTTTACCAGCTCGAGGATTAGTAGGGAGTTTTTTTATCATCAGGAGCGATATTTTCGCCATTGACCAATAGAAAGCAAGATTCGCTAGAGATTAACTAGTCATCGAGGTATGTGTCAGAGAGCTATTGAATCCGTTTCGATACAAGCTGAGGAAGAAAAACAGGTATGACCCTTTCTAGTTCATACGGTGAGAGACACAGGTTCGAGAATAGAGACTCTTGGAGTAACCAAGAAAAAAAATACGCGTCAATGCTTCTATCGCTAGTTAAATCTCTCTTTCTTTACTCTCGGAATCCGGATAGAGGAAGGAGTGATCGAATTTCAACATGTTTATTTTGCTATGAATCACATCTGAGTCTGGACTGCATGGAGGCTCGAGGCTTCTGTTTTGACGAAAAGAAATGATTGTAGAGCCCATGTCAAGTGGATGATCATTATGTTCAAAAAAGCAATAGGTACCTGATTATGTGTCCTGATTCAGTGAATGAAATCAAAACAGCGAAACCGGAAGAAATAAAAGTTGGTAGTGCATTGATCATTGATCAATGATGATTATATCACAAGTAATGATTCCCAGCAATTTCAACTGCGAATGGTTATTGCGAAGCTCGTCAATTGTGGTAAAGAAAGGTTGGTCAGAGCACTCCCTGATTCGGGATCACAGCGTTCTCATATTTCATTGCATATTGTTGAACAAATGGAATTGCATGAATCTGAGGAGGAGAAAACCATACAGGGTGTTTTTGGTGGTTATGTGTCATCTCAGATTCGTACGCTGTACAATATCGAGAACGTCGAATATTCCTCCGAATGCACCCTTGATGTATCGGAGAAAAACAAAATATGCAATGATATTCAAGTTCTGAATGATTATAGTGCATAATATTTCAATCATTCGAGGAGCATTGATATAATCATCCATATTATGAAGAGCAGATGAACTTAGTACATTATTGACGGGTATTGGTGAAACAGTGGATGAGAAGGTCACTGCAGAAGTAACAAAACTATAGGAGACATTGATGGGAAAATATCATCCAAAACATCCTATGAATGCATAAATGTATTGTCGGGATTTTCTGAAAATCACTCTCTCTCGATTCTGATGTAATTAAGACACACTGGGTATCAAGAATTCACCCGAATCAGGAATGATGGGAGCTAGAGATGTAAAAACCCTAAGAAGATATGACGACACCATTTTATACCAACATGATACATATAAAGTCAGTTTACCTTGAATTGAAAAACATCATACACTGATGATTGATGATAGTTCGGCACATGAAAGACTGAAATCGAATACGAAATGATATTTAGTACTTATAAAGAAGTATTCAGCCAATGAGAGAATTTAGGGAATGATGTGAAAAACAAAGAAATAACTTTTTCTATCATGCAGTTATCAAGGAATCCAATGCAACAACACGGATTCGTCTGAGGTACCTGATTGATCGGATGATTGCATAGAGAAAAAGACCTGATTTTCTGGCAATGATTTCCTCACTTTTTCCCAATTTCATATAGGTGGAATTGGGGTCATTTCTGACATCGAGATAACAGATTTCGCAAATAGGTAGATAGGTATTCTACTGGTTTTTCGGGTGGTCAGATTCAGTCTAAACCGAAAACTGAAACCTATAGACATTGTAGAGTTGCCTGTGAAGTGAATCCAATTCATCTTCTCCCATCAGCAAGAATTTTATATCATCTATATACAGCGCCATTACTACCGCAGAGAACTGTAGAAATACTGAAATATCCTCTCATTGTTGGCAATTATGTTTCGAATGTCAGAAAACGGGGCTACATTATGAAATTCCATTCAGAATTGAACCTCAGAGGAACAGTTCAAAACTATCACCACTATCGAATAATACACATCAAACTATAGTAGGGCTATGAGGTTTACTCTGGAATGTTGATAGAAATATTATGTCTTTTGTAATCAAATCGATGAAGAGATAACACATTCCTCCAATGACAAAAAACGGTTCATTCTCAATAGCTGAAGAACTATTCAATCACATAGGACTAATCTGCCCAGTTCCACTCATTTTTGAAATTGAGTTTACTGAGAAACATCTTCAGTTGCAAATTGATCATCAGTTTTTATGATAGACTTTTTCAATCTGTTTCAGCCTGATGATAGGTTGAGTGTTGAAACCACTTATATTCATTCGAAAATGTACCTTGAAAGTTATCTCCAAAAAATGGTAGTTTCAAAAACTGAAGTGAAACCCTTGTTCAGATAGCCAAACTGAAAAGAGGAAAAGATAAATAGACAACATGAAAAATATAAGCACCTTCGAATCAGTACATTCAATGTTATATATTTATCAACACGCTATCATTATTCTGTAAAAACTATTTATTCCCTATTTCCAGTTCGGCTAGGAACAGAAACGTGTTTTTTAGTATCCTTATATTTTCGAAGGTACATTATAACCAATTTTGACGAAAAAATAATAATCTTCTATCCCGAAAATCCCTAGATACTGATTTTTAATAGAATTGGATCATGATTACTGAACCGGCCTGCCATATTTTAGTCGCCATATTATTTTTTTCAATTTTGTGAGAAGCTTCAAGAATCTCCGTCTCTCAAACCTCCAGATACCAATTTTGAATAGAATTGGGAAAAATGGGAAAACAAGACTCGTCCACCACATTGGATCCGCCATCCTGGATTTTTCGACTTTGACGAAAATCCTGAATATTTTCGGATCATAATCACAAAACTCTTCCGAAATATTGGATTCACCATCCCAAAAACTACTAGATACCAATTTCGAATATAATAACGAATCGTATTTACAAATTTTGCTCGTCATATTGAATACGCCATCCTGAATATCCGAATTCAGACGTCATTTTGGAGCCGCCATTTCGTTTTTGAGTCGAACAAGAACTTCATGTAGCATTTCCTCCAGAATTATGTACACTTGCCAAATTTCAAATCAATCGGTCTGTTTGAAGTGGGTCAAAATCGAGTCCAAGGGAGTCGGTTACATACATACACACACACACACACCCTCTGACACACACACACCTACACACACACCTATACATACATACATACATACATACATACATACATACATACATACATACATACATACATACATACATACGTACGTACCAAAAAAATTTTTGATTCATCGATAAATCGAATCTCAAAAATACAAATATTCATCACAATATTACGTTATACTATTCCGAATATCATCTGAAATAATCTTCAGGACGATTTTAGTCTGCATATTGATAACAGAGGCCTTAGCCGAGGATAGCATCCAGGCAAGACGATAGACAGTTTGTCGCCAAGGTGCATATTTAATTTTTTCGTCGACCTCAAATATTAATATCTACATCACAATCCACTTCACACGTGAAATCTATCGAATTCCGTGAATACTCGATTCGACAACAGCAAATGACAGTTGTTGTCTCAACTCACTCTCTGTGCGGACCAGGGTTGCCAGTTCGTGTTATTATTATTATGTATCAGTAAATACCATGTCAGAAATTCAGATCTATGTTATGCTTCATGAATTTCAAGGAAGAATAATAATGGTATACACCTATGACATCGATACATACTATGTACTTTCAGTAAACAGAAAAGTATCATATTTCGAACAAAATCGAAATGAACTAAACAAACATTCTCATGGAGGAATTATCATATTCCTGATTCAATTCAAAAATACCCACAAATCTCACAAACTTCAGTTACTCACAGGTACTTATAAGATTTGAGTAGAAATAAACAATAGCAACACGAAACAAATCGAAAAGTTGAACGTGAGAAACCAACTGTTATAATATATGTTTTATATGAATTGTTTTAGATCTGGATCAGATGAAGCATCGTCCTCTTCTGGTTTATACATATCGAAAGTGCCAATATGTAAATTTATTACTCATTCCTTAAAATCAATTCGAACAGAGCATGTCAAAATATCATGCAATTTATAGATATGTATGTGATTAACCAAAGACTAATGATAACAAGGGTAATTATAATTATGAATGAGTAGATCAATATGCAAATAGGAGATCTACTGAAAAGTCAGTAAAACTGGCAACTCTGCAGTGGACGAAAATTGTTTGCGGACAAAAAATTGGTGTCTCCGGACAAAAACTACTCGCCTACGGAAGTAGTCGTTCGGAAATTGAAACGTCGAATGTGATTTTTTGTAGAGGTTGACGAAAATTCATCATAATGAGACTTTTGATCGCAATATATTGACTATGAGTGGAAATGGTTATTGTATTATATGATTACTTGATGGTTCGCAGATAATCTTTGGAATTTTTGAAAAGTACAACATGATGTTATTGCAAAAGCCGTTGATACTTTCAGTACCCTACCAAGTGGCAAACATTGGGTCCTTATCAGACTAGCTTTATATTGTGGAACTTCGATAGATAACTGAAAAAAGTCGCGTGCAAAACCAGATATATCCATTTTATCTTTCCACTTGAATCATTACTATAACTTTCTCTGAAATATTCTGTCCTTCATCTTAATCTACTTTATTATTTCCAGTACTATCGAGTCATTCACATTGGACTCAAGCCCGCCAAGTATATGAAGATATGGAAGCAATATATGAAGGTTTTTATAATACTGACTTCGATTTTCGAATTGTATCAGTTCTGACTGCTGTCTCAGAATTGAAATAGTTTCGAATTTGATCTCAGAATTATAGACATATTTCATTTAGTGACCGCTTGACGAATTCATAGGTTCTGTAATCCAAACGTAATTCAATCTATGGTAGAAGTCCATGGTATCTCAAAGTAGATTCGATAAGATTCAGACACAAGACACACTTAGTCATATCCACAAATTCATTCTCAGAATTATTAAAACATGTTTGATCTGGGGAATTTCAACAAGAATAAGTTTCTACAGAGTGAAACTGAGAATAACTCTAGGTTATGAACTCACGTGAAAGTGGGAGAAGGAGGCAACAGCAATATCAGTTATGAAAAAAAATATATCGAAGACTGGAACCTTTGGCACGATAATACACTACACTAATTTACCACTAATCGAAACGATTATTTGAACGCTTCGACACGTGTTTCGCTAACTATGTCAGGATCTTCAGAAGGGGATTGAAACTAATCTTCTCTTCAGGAGACGATTGAAACTCATCTTCTCCTGAAGATGCTTATATAGTTAGCGAAACACGTGTTGGGGAGTTCAAAAAATCGGTTCGGTTAGTAGTGAATTAGTGAAGTGTATGAAAGAAGATGTTCATAATATCAGAGGGCAAAGTGACCCTAGCACAAAGAGGGCTTCATGGAGCGCACCAACACTTGGTCATCCAGGCAGTTGAAGATAGAATGGGGTCCATTATGAATATCATAATTAGCGTGAAAGAGGTAAAATGGCGAAGAGGGATCGACATGACATAAAGTATGAGAAGCATGTCTCTATCGACGAGTGACACAAAACTATCTTATAGCATGAAACGAAGAATATTAGACAAAAAGTCAAACATGACCGTGATGAATCACGTTTGAAATTCCTACATTACGTTTCTAGCTCATTATCTCCATAATTGATACCTAGTATAAAAAATAGTCACATGAGAAAATGTACATACTCACAGAAAACACTTAGTCAATGGATAGTATTTGATGAATCAGATCTTTATTATAAAACATATACAGCTGATTCTTAAAATGATATCACCTATCGAGATCATTTTTCCTGAGGCTCAGCATACCTGTGGGGAGTGATGATTTCAACTTTGACTTCGTTCTCTGATCCATATGAACAGGTCCTTGAAATTGAAGAAGATAATAAGTAAAAATCTACTTTGTTCTGAGGTTGAGCAAACAACTCACCTGTGCTGTTCCTCAGAGTGTTGGTGCCATTAGGGACTCAAGAGTTACTTTCGATTTCAGATGAAGTCGTTCGAGACTATTTATTCAATTTTCTAGGATTCTCATGGACTTGGGAAGTGGGGGAGAAGACTGAGAGGACCTCTTCGATTCCTGTTTCGTCCAAGTTTATTCGAACTTCTAAGTCTCAACCCTTATCTCGACCAATAGAATGCGAGGATATTATTTCCTCTCGGATTCTTGTTGTTGTCGGTGTCAAGGGTGAGGAAATGGTGGACTTGTCGAAGAATATTCGGTTCTTGGATCTCTCTTCTCGGGCAGTTATGACAAAAGACGCGAACCATTGAGTTTGGGGTGATATTTTTGATCACGACTAGAAGTCGCCTAAAAGTCATGCCACACGCCCCAGCTGAGATGTCACTTTGCATGCTAGTACGTGTTTAGGGCACTAGTAGCTGTCTGACCCGCCACAGATCTCCTGAGCTTCGTTTCGTTGAGACGTGGGTAGCAATAACCGAGCCGAGGGGCTATGGAACCCAGCACATCAGATCATTGGGGGCCATTTCGTTCTTTTCTCTTCGCTGCGGTCAATCTTCTGAGCTGCATGCTGTTATCACGCCAAAGGGAATACCCAGGAGGAGTGACGGCAGTATCCAGCTCAGTGGATTTGTGAAGGCACCTTTTTTGCTTCCAAACTAGACTTCTGGATTGACTGTTGTTAGCAAGCCAGAAGGAATGAATACCTTGAAGGAATGAATACTTAGGAGAAATTGATACCTGACCGTGATAGGGGTGGAACAGACTTCTGGAGAGGACAATCTTCCTAATTTCGACCAGGTTTTTGTTAGGGACATTTAAAATACCAGGAATTAACATGATTCACGATTTTCACGTGTGTGAAGCTTCACCATGGTAACATGAGACAGCCTACTCGGATCAATAAATGTTTGATGGTTTTCTCAGTTTAACAATCAGTAGAATAATAACCATATCAACACATGGAATATGTGAATAATTGAAAGCTATCAATATTCACCTACTAGATGCCCAGTTTGAAGTATGTGTTAGGATCGTTCTCTTCATTGGTCTGAATGTGCGTTGTCTGACATGTTGTGAAAAATAGGCTGCAGGAGTACACTTGTTTAAATCCATTATCTGGCCATCTAGGAAATTCCAGGGAGCACATCTCCATAGTTGTTGTTTCTTTTGTCTATTAACTATCGGTTTAAATTATTTGGTTTCCTCAATTATCCGAATCAATTCATATCTTGCTTTTGAATTGAGTCGAATATCAATCTCGAATCCACATCAACTGTTCTCTGGCAAAAAGCAGCCATCTGCACATGTGACTCATTTCCTGGATTCGAGTAGATTGTAATCATTTATAATCAGAAAAATAGACTTCAATGTCGAATAGATAACAAGAATTGATTCACCCTGGAAAACTGCGAATGAATTCAAAATGAGACAAAGTACCAACCACGACGAGGATATCCAGTATTTTAGAGCGTTAGGTAGTCTTTGACAATCATAATATGTTCGTTTATCTAGGGATATGACGGTGTCATCTCCGATTAATACATTGATTTCTTATAACATTAGTAAATCCAGAAGGATGCTCTCAAAGCGAATATGTGGAATTTTTTTTCATCTTTTTCGTGAGTACATTACCTAAGGTGATTACCAGTTTCACAATATTAAAACCCTTTTTTGTAGAAATTTCCAGAATCGTATTTCTCATGATGGACTAATGATAGCCCGTAACGTATTCAGATAATTCTAAGAATTTATTCGTGAAGATGACTTTTTGTGTTTTCTGTCTGGATATTATTTTTCATTGGAATAAATCATTAGATGTCTTCATCTATCAAGTTGAGTTTTATTGGCGAATGCTAATAATCAACTTTCAAAATATGAAACGAACTCTTTAAGTGTGAGTACAGTCAGATGCAATAGGAATGTCGCACATGGATTGTGATAGCACATCTAGTCACTGCTGCAATAAAAGCGCTGACACCATCGAGTCGCGACATGTGCTTTGCATTTGACTGTACATAGAGTTCAATGCTAAATTATTTTCGGAAAGTTTCGAGTCCGAACTTGTGATGATGGAGCAAGCATCTTGATTTCACTCAATCTGAATAAAAAATTTATCATTGCAGGATACCTTCGTGGAATTATGCGGCTGTGGGAAGCCGAACAAAGGGCACTATGCATCCATCCGTAAGGTACCATTGAGCATGAGACACATAGAACGGTCCATTTCAGAAGTAGCTGATCTTAGTCCGAACTTGGTGGAAGCAAATTCTGATATGGAAAACAGTAGTCAGTCCAGAGTTCCAAATAGCACACAAACCAGCTCACTCTCGAGTTTTCGCAGAAGTACTTCTCACCACGACCCTTGTAGACTCAAACCAGCAGAAAATCGAAACGGCAACCGGGAAGAGAATCGAGAACATTTCCTCAACCTTCCATTCGGATTATCCAAAATCTTCGTACGGGCAGATTCGAATCGATCTAGCAATACTGCCAATATCAGCAATTCTAGTTTGAGGGATACCGATGTCAGTGAATTCATCCAATCTGATCCAGTTGATTACATGGTGGAAATGAATGAGAATATCCAATGAATTAGGTTAGGTAGGTTCAAGGGTGACTTATCTTATTATCGAGGATCGATCATGATAATGATTATGATGATTATCTTCATTGCTAAATGAAAAAGTACAATTATAATAACAAATTGTGGAGTGAGATCAGCATAAAGTGGCTTCTAACAGATCATTCATTGTATCAAAAAAAAAAGTATTCCTCAAAATGCATGAGAATAGGTAGAGAATATCATTAATCTAGCTTGATGAGCATAATGATTGTTGCTTGATCTTCTTGCTGTAGTTATTCAGTTGTTTTCTACGATTGTTGTTATCAAAAATGGAAAAAACATGTTTAATCGAAACCCAATGGCGATAATCCTATTATTTGGAGCTTGATTTTTGGAATTGAGGTAAAGTTGTTGGTGAGAGTTGAGTCATCGTATAAGGGCGATCCAGAATGAAATAAACTACGCAACACTAATTTATTCGGATCTCACTGTTCGCTAGCCCAGCCCTTCAGCGATGATCTCGTAATTCTTTGAAACATAAGGTTTTTCACATGGAATCGCTACAGGGTGTTACCTGAAACTGTGCAAAACTTCGGGAATTCCAAAAGTATCCCAAATGGAGAGGATTTTTTTTCACAACTCTGGCAATGGGAGCATGTAGATGTTCTCATCATCTCGGGACAGTTCTCAAATTGTCTCTATATCTCTTTTATTTACAGAGTTATCCCAAAAAATTAGCTTTTTGGTTTTGCAGTCAATACTTATTATTTCCTCGTTAACCGATTTTTGAAATCTCAGGCTCATATTGAAGCTTGAACTTCAGATGAAGAGATACGCAGATCAGAATTGACTCAAGATGAACATCTCTCTTGGAAGCAGCCCTTTATCTTCCGTAATTGTTGGGTTAGGATTCTGAAATTGGCAAGAGCACTAGATATACTCAAAATACACGATATGACTAAGTGGAATCGTCCCTAGTGATATACACTGCTCGCCAACAGCCATGGAACAACCCACAAAAATGATATGAGGATGCAAGATGGGTTGAAAATCACTTCAGATTCAGAATCAGGACGCCGCTTCAGCTTCCTCCTGCAAATTTCAGATAATAATGATAATAATATAATATATGGTCTTTATTCCTCTTGGTGGAGTTCAGCTGACTCTATTCTTACACTCAACCAAGTTTCGAAGTTACAAAGTTGTTCATTGAACATATTTATGAAAAAAACATTCATTATATTCATCTAGTCGACAAATTGAAGCAAGAAAATCTCATAGTTCGATAATTATGATACATGAAAATAATCTATAAAATAATATGTGGAAGAAATGAAATAATGATAATAATAATAAAAATGATAATAAGATAAGAATAAGAAAAATCAGATCTCTACCTCAATAATTACGGGAGATACAGGGGTGCTTCCATGAGAAGAGAGACGAAATTCCAATCTACTGAACTGAAAATTTCCCAGGATAAATAACTATTGTCAATGAATTGAACGTCCTGATTGAATTGATTTTCAACCTATCTTGGCTCCTAATGTCATTTTCCGGGAGTTTGGGTGGTTCCATGGCTTTTGGCGAGCAGTGTTCATCACTCCACTTGATCATGCATAGTGATTATTCACAGTATATCTTCCGCTCCTGCAAGTTTCAGAATCCTAACTCAACAATTACGAAACATACAGAGGTGCTAAAAAAAATGGTTGATGATCTAAAATTGTTTTATCCGTCATTCGGTTGGCCCCTTACGAGTAACCCTCAGAAGTCTTCGAAAGTCTTGTGCGAGCAAGGAATGACGAGGGCCTCACCTTTCAACGTGTGATCCCAAACACTTTCTTGGGCCATCGAAAAAATGTCGACCGGCAAGCGAATGCGAATTAGAATATAGACACTCTGTCCGCACGGCTACCTGGCCCCCTGCTTCCATCAGAAGTGGGACACACTGTATCATGTTCATCCTGAATTAATTCTGATCTTTATATTTCTTCATCTGAAGTTTTAGCTTCGGAATATTTTGAAAACAGGTTGACAAGTAATAAAGTTATAACTGCAAAACCAGGAAATAAGGTAATTTTTCGAGATCACTCTGTAAATGAAAGAGATAAGAAGACTATTCGAAGAATGTTCTGAGGCAATTAGATCATCTTCATGTCAGAGTTGGAAAAAAAGAGTTTTTGTTCATTTGGGATCCTCATGAGAATTCTGAGATTTTCTACAATTTCAGGTGACAACATGTCGTCGGCTTAATTTGCAAAGGTCGTAAGTCCAAAATACCAAATTTTACAGGAGAGACAAAAAACGTTTGAAATCATAATCAAATATGAATTAACCATGCAAAATACTTCAATTCATTTTTAAATATTCGATATTCGTTCCGATATATGAAAAATGAGAAAAAAATCACTCATACTTTTTTTGAAGGACTTACGAGCTTTTCCCATTTTTTCCCCAAAATTTGATGGACTTACAATTTTTGCGATTAAAGAAAACTACAATGATTTTCAAAGTTTTATTCGATTGAAATGTAACGTAAGAATGAAAAATCAACAAAAAAATATCCAGAAAATGAACATGACTTGAAGTTTGTCAATCTTCAATCAACATAGAACTAAATCGTACAGATCCCGAGAAAAACATAGCGTAGAAAGTGATGAAAAAATTTCAGAAAGCATTTTGCTGAGAGTTAAAAATATGGTAAATTGTCATAAAAAGAATGATAATCCTTTTTCAAACTTTTTTTCAAAGATTGTAAATTATCCCATTTATCCTTCTTTATTGGTATTGGCCGTCCATATAATTGGGGAAGAGATTCCAGTGAACAGGGTTGGATCTTGTTTGGATTTCGAAAAAGTAAGGGGGTGTATGTATCAGTATGTCTCAATTTATAAAGAATTGAACCATTTGGGGAATACTGCAATGCCCTAATATCGGTTACGACTGGATCTCCAGTCCGCTTTCCTGGGCGTAATGACGACAAAAATTTTAGCTCACCAAAGTTTTTGAAAAATGTATAGTCTAAATATTTCACTAAGTAGGGTGATGGATTTCTTCTTGCTGCTAAACAGACACCGACGTAGTCTGCTGGGACATTAATATCAGTTCTTCGGAGTCTCTGTTCAATGGTGGAATGTATGGAGTCTGCCTCCATTTGGGTGTGGCCCTTTTCCAAATATTTCTGCTCAATCGTTACTTTGTAGTATGAGGCCATATTCAGTAGAGCATTGGATAGATTTGCGTTTCTATTTTGTGACGTACAACCATCACTGTATATAATGATATTCTGATCGGGACTCAATGTTCCAATTACGAATTGTTTCAGAAAATAACAAATAATCGAACAATAGTCATTTGATGATACGCCACCAGCTGATTCATGCCATAAATAGCAATAGGCTTCTTTGGTCTTCATGTTATAGATTGTGAAATTGTGGACTATAAGTTTGGTTTTGAAATATAGTGACGATACGTTGGATTTTGGACAGAGTAATACAGACTGGAGATCCATACAGTAAACCTTGTTATTGGATTCTTTATCTGCAGCTTTGGATTCTCTTGCTTCTCTCTTCTTCAGCTGATGACATTCATAAGCTTCTTCTGATAAGTTTCCTGCTTTATACGTGAAACACGTATCACACTGGTCTTTTTTGGGTCTGAATAAGCTTAAATTCATTTCATCGAATATATGATAAAAGACTGCAATGGATAGTGGCTTCATGTGCTGTTCAACACACCATGTATTTTTATATAAGTTGTACAGCGCCGACTTGGAAGTCCAATTTGGTTCCAGATATAATTTTGAAGAGCTCGCTCTACAATAATGACTTTCAGTCTTGGGAATTTCTCTGAAAAACAGCCTTAGATTTTCTTTAAGATCATTTCTCACAGTCGAATTATCATTGTCAATTTCACTTTTCAACGACTTTCCTTCGGATAACTCAGCTTGTTTCCAGTTCATTACCATTCTTTCACCTATACCCAAGGTATTCAGAAACATTGTTTTGCATACTGGTATCCTCTCATCAGATTTTTTCAAATGATATTTCCAGGAATACTTCCTTCTGGATTCTGCCTCGACTAACCTGTGCCTGTGCCTCCTTGTAGTCTTCACATTCACCAACAATTGAATGTATAGTTTCCTTTGCTTCCAGTCTAACTCTGACCAAAACGAACTAAATATTTCATTTCTTTCATCTTCTGTCAACAATCCACATTTCAGAACTGATTTTTTCGAAGACAATTTGCATTTGCATCTACATTTGATAACTTTCTTCTGACGAAAAACGTTATATTTCCATTCATTATCGACTTTCTTTTTACCATAATATTTTTCACCCTTCTCTCGCCTCTTTTTATTGATACTGCTAGACCATTTAGCCTCATCTACAAGATACCTCTTTCTCCTTTTCCCTTTGTCAACATTTTCTCCTGTTTCTGAAAAATCTCTCAGCTCATGTTCTCCTTCATGTTCTTTTTCATGTTCCTGTTCATGTTCTTCTTCATATTCTTTTTCATGTTCTTCTTCATGGTCACCTTCATGTTCTTCTTCATTTTCTTCTTCACGTTCTTCAATTGAATCTGAGTTAGTATCTTTTTCCTCATCTCGAAATTCTTTCAGATTCGTGTTCTGTAAAACAAAAACCTCGCGATCTTCACCAATGAACTGTAGGTCAAGCTGGTCAAGTGTTCCCAAATTCATATGATCGGGTTGATTTAGGCAGCTTTCAACATTGAATTCCTCATTGCTGTTCGAGAATATATTTTCTGTTACTTCAGGTATATCGAAAATTAATAAAGAATCACTCTCTGATAATCGATGACTTCCCCCGATATCTTCAGGTTCATTCATTGAGAAATTATTAGTATTTTGTAGCCCATAACAACTAGAGATATCAAGAATGTTTGGATTGTTTGGATTTTCTGTTATTATATTATTTTCTTCATTATCTCCGACATGAGCATCATTTTTACTGATAATATCATGATTATTTCCCTCCATGCTAAATGAGTTTAGTTCTGTCT